GAGGTCGCTAGAGGTCATCATAGGTCAAATTTCAGTGTTTTCGGTGTTGCCGGACATATTCCGCTGTAGCTCGGAAACTAGAAGAGCTAGAGAGCCGCGGAAAAAAGCAATCGATAGCTCTTTTCAAGCTCTTTCGCCAAGGTTCGTCAGATTTGACCTCAGCTCAACGGTTTGGCCTACAGAGGTCATGCAAGGTCAACTTGGCAAATTTCGTTGAAAATGTTTTTAACTATAGCATGCATTCACGAGAAAATAGAGAAACGATTCATGCACCATCGTGCTTGGCTCGTCGAGACGCGTCGAATGATATATAGTTTGACCTCGGAAGGTCATTTTGAAAATTTGACCTCAGGTCAAGGTCATGACCTTACCGAAATAGGTCATGCTGCATATCATTCGATCCGCATTGACGAGACAAACACGATAAACGTCGAACGGAGTCTCTATCTCTATTCAATAACAAGTAAGTGCAGAAAAACCGCTGGTGACCTCTGGTGACCAGGGAGATGACCTAGCGTGACCTCAGCGAGGTCACAAGCAAATGGTTTCACATGGGCTGTGATTTGCTGACCCAAGACACTTCAATAACGAAATATAGGAACAATCACGCCCGATTTAGCTGAAAAACAACTACCTTTCGATTCTCCCATTGACTTATAATGGGGAGCAGCGATGACCTGACCTGACCTTAGGTCACATTTATAAAAAATCCGAGATAGCCATTTTGTAGAGCTGGGTGACATCTTCAAGTACTGTAAATTTTACATCGATCGGATAAAAGCTGTGCCTTTGAGAGAGCTTTGAACTTTTTTAGAGGTGGTGTCAGTTTTGGTGACCTTGTGACCTGACCTGACCTGACAGTGACCCGAGCCCCCAAAAAAAGGACATGATGTAAAAATGTTGAATAAACAGCTATACAAAGTTTCAGGGCGCTAACTCAAGTGGTTTCTGAGTTATCGCTGAAAAACCACAGGGGGGGGCCAAAATGGCCCCCCCCCCCCACCAGGGCGAAGGTTAAACTGTAAGCCTGTATTGGTATTGTTTCTTTAATTTGGCTGTCGAACATTAATTTGTGGTTTGAAATATGATTTTATGTAAAATAATTGATATGAAACAGCCGTCTCTTAAGTTATGACCCCATTTCACCACACGCAAGTGGCAGAAATGACAAAGATCAGCTGACGCATTTTTCTTGGCCGAAGTCAGAGCGCGCGGCCCGACGCACCAGCGTATTTGGAAATTCGGACCTCGACGAGCATCAGAAGCCACCTAACAGGTTTGTTCGAAACCGCAGGAGATGATGATGAACGGGTTTATCGAAACTTGATTGGATGAGCCTATCGGTAATAGCGATTTTAGTGTGTGCATTTATTGTTCATAGTGGTGTGAAATGTGGTTGGGGTACGACCGACAACCCGTCGGGGCGAATTTCGCACTGGGGTACTCAAAATTTGAAGAATTTAAGACGTTTCCATGAGTTTTGAAGGTATGGATAAGTTCTAAAAATCCGGTTCTCCTTATCCGGGTCATTAACTCCATATGGTCCAAGAAAGCTGGCACACTACCTCTAACGCGGAGTGTGGGGGGCAAATAACCCCCCCCCCCCCAACGGGGCGAGGACATGGGGAGGGGCTGATGCAGCCCCCTAAGGTTTTTTGCAAATAATTCAAGTAAAAAGCGGCCGATCGCGACAAAACTACAGTAGGGGAGAGTGGGGTAAGATGCCCAGGGTGGGAAAGACGCCCCACCCCCTCTAGCGACGAAACAAAGAATCGGACCTGGAAATTAATGTTCTTAGCGTAAAGCGGAAGCCTGCCTTGTTAACGGCACAAAAAAAATGCGAAGCTCAGTTGGGCAACGGCTGGCTGATGACTGCATGTTTTTTATTTGCTGCTTTCAAAATATATTTTGGTGTCAGAACCAGGTCTGCGGAGTCGGAGTCGGAGTCGGAGTCGGAGTCGGTCGGAGTCGACAGTTGTGACCGGAGTCGGAGTCGGAGTCGGAGTCGATATTGGAAACCCCAGCCGGAGTCGGAGTCGGAGTCACCGAAAATCTGTCGACTCCGCAGCCCTGCCAGGTGTGCGGAGTCGGAGTCGGGAGTTGGAGTCGATCGGAGTCGACATTTCTGCCCGGAGTCGGAGTCGGAGTCGGAGTTGGTTTTTGAAAGCCGGAGTCAGAGTCGGAGTCGGAGTCGCCGTAAATCCATCGACTCCGCAGCCCTGGTCAGAACATTGTAAATATCAAAGAAGGTAAATAATTTTTGCGTCCCTTGCTATAGTCGTGATACATTAGCATGCGGGTACTGTGTCCCAAACAGTTTGTTTCATGGTGTAGTTTTATGGCTAACAAATTGTACTGATTTAATGTTACTTCGGTACCTTGGGGTAAGATGCCCCCTGTCCTGATGGGGAAAGACGCCCCCCTAAATCCGTAGGCTGTCCTTCAAACAGCCCGTCAAATCATTTATTACATACTTGTGATGTAGACAAAAGCCGATCTGGGACTATTGAGAGTCCAGTGCGGTCGGGTGCTCCCCATGCCGGTCTCTCGGCCCACATAGCCACTTTTTGGGCGGCATCTGACTCTGAGAGCCCTCACGACGGCCTCTGTGGGCCCAATTATTGGCTCCAGGGCCCATCACGACATCCTTTGAGGGCTCCCACGTTGGCCCCACGGGCCGCACTGGCATCGGAGGTCCCCACGATGGGCTCGAGGGCCCTCAAGCATCATGAAGACCTATAAGAGCCCCACAGTGGTCTCCGAACGCCACCACGGAGGCTTGTTTGGCCGCGCTGGACTATGATGGCCCTAACGATGACCTCTGAAGCCCCTTACGACTACTTTTGCGGGCCCTTATGATGACGTTTGGTGTCTAGGTACTGCAGGCTCGAAAGGACTACTGATTCGTTCAGGCGATTCACGTGCCCATTTATGTCACTTATAGTGCAGGGGGCATCTTTCCCAACGTCAGGGGGCGTCTCTCCCACCCTGTGGGGTAAGATGCCCCCTTTCACTTCTTCAGGAAAATGCTTAATAGCAAAAATAAGTAATAATATTTCAGGCACGAAAGTGTGATATTTTTGGAGAAAAACGATGTCGGCTTCCGTTGAAACTCCAAGTTTTTGCTTTCCCATCGTCATTTTCGAATAATATATGACATAGTAAAACCCTGGGCATCTTTCCCCACTCTCCCCTACCCTCGCATTAAAGGGACTATCCCACCTTCTAAAATGTTGTTAAAACCAGTTAAATTGTGCCCGACTTTATAGATTGGATGACCAGGAACACGGTTCTGGCATTTATTTTTCATTAAACATCTTAGGCTTCCCATATTCCAAACACAAACTTTCAAATATGTGACGTCACAGCCCAAAATTACCTCCTTCCCCAGGCCACATTACTGTCATAAAGCTGATTCTTTTTACTCTGTAGGCACCACAACAAAGTTCAGACCAAGTTTTAAGCGATTTTTCAACGAACAAACCCATTTAAATCAGAATGACTAAACGAGGTGACGTCACACTAACGGTCGCTCCATGTTGAAGATAGGGCCTTGTACAAGGCCCATTTTCAAATGAAGGGAACGAATTTCTTCAACACCAAGAGGCCGCGGGGGTTGCAACCTAGATAGATAGTGGTTTCTGAACCTCGCCGCAAACTTGGCTATCTCAACTCAAACCCCATGTTAAAGGTGGGATAGTCCCTTTAATCAATGTTACACCTGTCCCTGAAAAGTTCATGACCCTGACCCAAAGGACCTTTGACCTGTGACCTACTTTCCGAGACCATGTTTGGCCGGAATCGAGATTCGGCGTATGTTGGCTCGCATTAGCCGCGCGCGTTTGCAAGTTTTTCGTGGCTGCAAACGTTCAACATGTGATATGATGTTGCTCCCATGCATTAGGGTGGATGTCAAGGTCACCTGAAGGTCAGGTCAGGTCTTTGACCTTTGGTGACCTCGGTTCACTTTTTCGAGTTTAACATGATTCTTGGCTAGTTTTCTTTTTGCTGAATTCGAATTTAGCAACCATTTGGACATTTATTAAGTAATTTTGGTGCCTTCGTAACATGTTACGAAGCTTTCAGAGGCGGTTGACACGTAGGTACTACGAATACCCGTCACGACCCCTAGGCTGGTTGACCTGACCTGGCCTAAACGCTTAATGACATCATCTCTGATCAAAACCAACACGATATTCGTGATAAACACCTCGAAAAACCTTTTATCAGCCACAGCTTACGACGTTTTAACAGGTCCCGATTTTCCCGACTTTTGAGTCATTGACCTGACCTGGAAGGTCAAGTGTCAACCGATGACCTAGGACCTTAAAATTGGGTATCATCAGCTTCCTCTCGTGACGGGCAACACACTCGTTTTTTTTTCGCGAAACTCTAGCTCGATCAGGGGCCAAACGCGAGGGGGTCGTACCCCCCCCCCCCTTGTGCTGTCGAAGGACGCAAAATGGCCTGTGCCGGCGAGCGTTAAACACAGGCATCACGCGTGGTGTTATGTTTTAGAGTGCACTGACGCATGCACCCGCGTCGAGCACCTGCGCCCTCGGATAGCAGGGGGGGGGGGGAGGAGGACACACCGGACAAGTGAATCGGCCGGAGGGCGAGCACACTTTGTCCGGGTGGGAACACCGTCGCTGAATCAACATTCAGTCTAGGTTAGCGGTAGCGTAGATAGCTAATCACGTTTGGTATCCTGGTTAGAAATGATATGGTGCCCTTTTCGACCATTTCGTTACGGGTGGCGATTCATCCCTCTTAGCTTCCCATGCCTCCGCCGTGACGCGCACACTGCACAGTGGCACTCTAACTCGGGGCCGCGGTGACCCTCACACCTGCGTCACTAGCCCCACATCCTTCGCTGGTATCGCGCTATCATGCGCAGCTGGCGGTGGGCCGGCCGATACCGGGCCGTATCGCCGCCGATAGCGCGCGAGCTCGGCCCGCGCGCCGCGGCGCGCCGCAGGAGCGCGCGATGAGCGCTGCAGCTCGCCATGACCGCCGCCGAGCGCCGCTGGACGCCGCTGGTGCGTCCGCTGGTGATTCTGCTGCTGCTGGTGACGGTGGTGGGCGACGCGGGTCCGCTGAGTGGGGCACCACCTGGTGAGTACGGTAACATCCACCCCCCCCCCCCCCCCCCTCCTCCACCGGCCCCGGTGCAGACAAGTGCTGAATGGGAGGTCACCACAGATACCGCAGGTCACAAGCATATCAATCTGTATTTGATGCCTGTATTTTTTTGTACATGACTCGTGGTACCTATCATCTGGCTATGATGCAGGAACTCAATACTTTGTCATAATTATCCTAACAAAAACAATTATGTAATAATCATTAAAAAAACCCACTGACTGCTTAGCACCGTTCAAATTGTCTGGAAATGCCCATAATTTTCTTCCTAAGATATTCCAGTTGATAAATGGCGGGACAAGCAACTTTTAACCCGCGCCGGGCCGCGTATTCGCCAATTGTATTACACGAATCGGCCGACCAATAGCGTGCCTCCTGAGTGACGTCAGCGTGGCGTCATACTTTCGGTCCTCGCCCTTGGTGGCGTCTATTGAAGCTAGCTTTTAAGTTAATGACATTTAAGCTCTTTGGATATTGTTGACGCCGTGGCGAAGTGGTTAGAGAATCGGACTGGTGATTCAGAGGTATGTGGTTCGAATCCACTCGGCGACTTCGATTTTCGTGTCATTGTGCGTTTTTTATACATTTGCAACGGCGTGCACCTAAGAAATCAGACGTAGGCATTCTTCTAATGAATATGTTGCATAAGATAGATATTTGCAGTCCAACCGATTGGTTCGGTTTCGGTATTTTCCAATGGTCTTTGTTTGTATTTGGTTTGGTAGCGGTGTTCTGATTTTCTGTGATTGACATCACTAATGCATAGTGCATACTGCATACTATGCGAACGTAGCCAATGGAAAGACAAATGGTGCTGGGCGATGGCCATTCATTGATCAATATTTCTCGCTGCTAATGGGTGATAGCACGCAGCATTGACAGGGGCGGCGCTGACCTTTTGAAAGTAGGTGGAAACTTGGCAAGGTAAAGTACCTAAAAGTAGCGAAAACTAAGATGAAAAGTAAAAATCGCACGCTGGTAAGCATAGCTTTTCGTGTAAGAATCACCATGCACAAAAAAGTTCGGCATAGCTGTTAGCGTAATCACGGGACGAGATTATCAGTTTCCAGCCGTCAGAGCGTCATCTATAGGAGCTATGCCCTAACTATAACTCTTACATTTCAGCCGCCAGGGGGATACCTAAGTCCCCTTGGAATCTAGTTAAAGTCAAAAGATTTATATTAGACCTTTATGAAGATAACTTGGGACTGGTTGTTAAGTTGCATGCTCACGGCGGGCTGTTATCAATTTATCTCTATACATGTCTTATCTGATCGATGAAATAATACAGGAATCCGTTGTCATTCGAGTGTGTTTCATAATAGCTCTTCCGACTTTGACGAATATCGACAGTGCCGTAACAAAATTGGTAGTTCAGGTATAGACTGCAACTGCAGTTCTTTTGCAACTTATTCCTTAATCAGATGAATACTTGTCAGAGATTTATTGGGCGTACGATATTGGCGTGCGAACGTAGGGGCCAAAAATGCGCGTCTACGACCGACTTCTTTTTAAGAGAAAAGAACCGCTAAAGCAAGGATCGATCCACCGACCTTTCGTCCACCACACCGAGACTCTGACCACTCGGCTACTGCGACACATACATGTTTAATAGCCATATACAATTTCAAAAAGTCTCAACTCAAATCTAGCCTCAATGCATGCATTGTCGCGGCGCATGGCTATGACGTCGCACTAGAGATGTCGCTAGTTGATGGGCCGATTCGTGTAATACAATTGGCGAATACGCCGCCGGGCCGGTGCTCTGAGATTCCGCGCCGGGCCGCGGTGGGGTGTTGAACACCCCCCCCCCCCTTCTAACTCGGCTCCTGGGCCACGTAGCGACACGCGGTAAGCGGCAATCGAAAGAACGTCAAAAATAAGGACGAAAACACTTCGGTCATTTTTTGGGTCAGGTCAAAGGTCAGGTCACCAGAGGTCACCAAAGGTAAAATGTTGACTATTTCAACATTTTGGAGACTGCCAACGGCTATCTCGGGAACCGATAGAGCTGCAGCGTCGCAAAAAAGCGCATTCGATAGCCCTTTTACAGACCTTTCTGAGTAATGTTCTCAGATTTGACCTCAGGTCAACAGTTTAGCCTCCAGAGGGCAAAAATTCCAAAAATAGCCGTTTTTACGAAAAACGTTTTTTCGGCAATAACTTTTGACTCAAAAGAGCTATGACATTACTTTTGCCAGCATCGTGTTCCTCTCGTCGAGACCCGTCGAATGAACTATAATTTGACCTTGAAAGGTCAACTTGAAAATTTGACCTCAGGTCAAGGTCATGACCTGACCGGAAAAGCTCATGTTGCATATCAGTCGATCCGCAACGTCAAGCCGAACACATCTAAGGCGTTTTCAGCGCTCTAGCACTCCTCTATCAGAAGTTATCATCGAAAAACTGTTAGATTCTGTTCGTGACCTGAGATGACCTCGGGGACATAACGAGGGGTCACAGTTGTCATTTTCTGGTTCAGTGTGTCTATTTTACCTACATCTCGATGTTTGAGAGTGTCTAAAATAGCGTTCGTGCAAAACAGACTCTTTTCAATTTTCTCCCATTGACTTATAATGGAGAGGCCGCAAAATTGACCTGACCTTAGGTCACCGATATCAAAATTCCGAGATATACATTTTATAGATAGTGTTGCTCTAATCAATCGCTGAAAGTTGTAAGGCAATCGTTCAGTAGGTGTAGCTATGACGAGCATTCTTATTTTTTCTGAGGTGAGGTCACTTGGCGTGACCTGGTGACCTGACCTAAGGTGACCTAGGTCTGAAATTTTCACAACATGTGCGGAAAAGATGCACGAACAGGTGTGTTAAAAAACGGCGGCGCTCCGCGCCGCCGTTTTTGAGATATCTGCGAAAAACCGCAAGGGGGGTGTTCAAACACCCCCCCCGGCCCGGCGCGGGTTAATATTGTGCACAGTGCACTTATTGCCACTTCAATAGGTATAACAATCTTAATGAGCTAAAACTTATCGTCCCTGTGCAGTCATCGGTTCATCCAGCCATTTTATAACACGAACAAAAGCATTAAATACTCAAATGTCTTCAACCGACAGCTCTGGAGTGACATGGTAGGGTAGTCGCGTCGACGTTTCACCCGTCAGGCATCTTATATAACCGTTAGTTTCTGTACATGAATGTAACTTGGCGTAATGTTCAACCATTAGCCATTCGTTGGATGTTAGCAATGGTATGTTTGAGCATCGTTAGTAATATCATCGTGATGAAAATGACCTGATGCTCATGATATAGGTAATATGATGAAGTTGAATTGAAATAAGACCAAAAAATAATGATTTTTTGTCTTATTTCAATTCAACTTCATCATATTATATCATGAGCATAAGGTCATTTTTCATTACAATAACATTAGCCATTCGGCCTAAAACGGGAATAAAGAAAATAATGAGACACTGACGCACATTTGAGAGAAAATGCAGATACCTGTATTAAAATTAAACCAATCAGTTGTAATGGTATCACGTTTTGCCTGATAGCGAAAGCTAATCTGAATGGAACTGCATCTGATAACCACCGTCTTCGGAATGTTTGCGAGCTATGGATGACTCTGGGATGACATGTTTTCAGTTCTCGTCACGCTGGAGCTAGCTGGTGATGTTGCGGAGCTGAGTACTGTGTTGCCAAGCTCCTCGGCCGGGACCACGTCACCGACCCTCCGGACGTCGCCACCGACTGCCGTTCCGACCCCGACCCCGACTGCCGTTCCGACCCCGACCCCGACTGCTGTTCCGACCCCGACCCCGACTCCCGGCGGAATCTGTGCGGACCCGCACGCTCACCGAGATCAGGATGGCGTCTGTTCCTGCAACTCAGGCTACCTGGTGACAAGGGACGATGAAAGCTTTCCCAACAACACCTGTCGAAGAAGCTCTGGAGGTAAGTCGGTGCCTACTGCCTTTTCCATTCCATCATTCGTCGTTTTTTATTTTTTATTTGCGCCTGGTGCGTACCCTTCAATTTTTAGTTTTCTATGTTCATCATTTTTAGAAAATACACAAAACGTGAATGGTGTACCTAAAATTGGTATAAAAGGGGCATAGCTGGGAGACCGGGTCATGGGCTCGGGCCAGCGGCGGAGGCACATGCTGGTTCTGCTAACACTTTAACTAGGGCACCAGGGACCGCTGCGACGCGTGCTGGGCCTCGTTTCATAAAGCGACTCCGTACAGTATGTCTAAAAAGTATGTCCCCTGGTTTGGCTCTCCCACAGGAGGCGAATCGGTAACTTGGCTGAATCCTAGTTGCGGCACCCGGCCGCCAGGGTCGCTGCCGCACGAGCGGCCTTGACCGCTCGCATGTCATTGGCAGTTCGGTCCCTCCCCATCTATACAGAGGTGGGGAGGGGAGAAGAGGGGAAGAGAGGGGAGGGAGCGGCATCTGCTCGGCACTGGGCGATACCTGGCTGACCCCGCGCTCCCTCGCTGACCTCCGTCCTGCCCTCAGGCGAAGACCGACTTCCTCGGCCCGTAGCGGCCGAGCGGAAAACCGAGCTCGCAGGGCGCGACTCCATTGGCCCAATCTTATAAATGGAATGCTGTCGTATTCACGGCATTAAATAATATTAATAGTGATACCAGCAGTGGATGTCGTAAAATACAGTCCAAAACAAACGAAAGCACACGATTGACGCATAATGCGCCCTTCCATTCAAATAAGTCCGCCCACTTCAATAGATGGTGTAGTTTCAATTCTTAGGGCGTAAAAGATGCAAAACACTACCAAACCTTTTTAGCTCGGCCACTGGGACCGTCAATATATAATTCACTGAAATGCATGAAAACCATTTTGCATTTAATAGCCGTTTCCTGCACCCAAACTTTAGCCAGTGACGCCCTGTCCATTCTAAAGCGTTTATAAGATTGGTCCCAGCACCCGATTTTATATGAGGAAGTCGTTTAAAAAGTATCTTATCTCTAACCAATTTATTTATTACGGCCACTTTTACAGGACGTCTATAGAGCTTTGACTTTTACATTTCTTCCTCGTTCAGGAGCAACGTTTTAACCCTCACCAGTCACCGGACCTTCAGGTTTTCTGAATACCGAGGGGGCGTTGGGGGGTTGGAAGTGAGGGAACAACCCCCTTTGCCGATTCGCCCCTTAATGAGCTAGAGCCTCACGAAAGAAACGATCGTGCGCGTCGTTACGAAATGCAGCGATTGGTCTCCGATTTTAAGGACCAGGATCAGCCGATGACTTCTGAGGTTAGGTCAAGTGGCCCAAGGCACAGGTTCGGTTTTTGGTAAATAACTTCGCTAAACATGATCACAGATCCGCGATTTTAGCAGCATCGTGTTTGTCTAGCTCAGGCGTGTCGAATGGTATACTTTTTCTTCGGGTGAGATCAAGTTAAGGTGTTAACCTCGGGTCAAGGTCAGGTCACAGCCCGTCAGGTCACGAAGCTGGTCAAAGCATAGAGATCTTACCTATATACAATTTAATTTAGGATAGTTTAATTCAAGTCGGTATGAATCCGACTTGACAATTTACTAGGTGGGTTTTGCAACGCTATTACTTCGGCATGTAATTATAAATCATTGCTAATTTCGATCCGGATGTCGTTATTCAATGCTGGCCTTTGCGCCCTCAGAAAAGTTTATAGTCATGAAGGCTTGCATTGACCCATACTTTCCATTTTCAGCACCATTATTCGCCGTAGTTAACCAGGTATTTTTCTTCAGCTCTCCCCCGAATCATTTGGCTTAGACCCATGGCGCATCACCCGTGCATCGCAAGACGCACCTACCACACACAAGTTCACGATCCCCACGAACCCCATCAGCGTCCGTTCGCTTGGTGTGTGACCCCTTGACCTTTGGCCGCGACAACTGCCAGCTTGCCGGAGCACCCCTCCCAGCACGCGCTGCCCCGCCCGCTCCCCTCCCTCTCTCCCTCCCCCCCCCCTGGGGTCGTGCCACGAAGGTTCGGGCTTACGCTACTACCGGCCGCTGCGCAGCTGTCACCTAGCGCTTGGGAATGTGTGGTCTGGTGCGGATTCAGCCAACTACCGGCTCGCGACACCAGCGCCACGTAGTGGCGACGGTACATTCTTTTTAGACATACGGGGCATTCCACGTCAAATCGAACAAAAATCGGCTGTTTTGCACCTTACCATCAGCGATTTCATTATAAATTTGTGAGCGAGTTCCTGTGTGGCCCCGGACATTACATTGATGTTTTTTTGCACATTCTGACCACAGGTCTTCTAAATATAGGGCATCAAATTTTTACAAAATGTTGCATCTTTATATTTTTGAACGACCATAACTTTGGTTGTACTTGTTTGATTTGAATGAAATAAACTTTACTGTTTAGGTTATTTCTTAAGCATTTGTTTAGAATTGCACCTACTTAAATATATGACCTTGAAATTTGCTTAACTCTGTTCTTAAGCACAAATATTGAAATAGCAAAAAACACGTCACCTTCGATTTGGCTCATTTTCATATATTTTATTGCCTACCATATTCTTAACAACCTGTGAAAAAATTAGAGTGGGCCATTCATAAGTTTTGAAGAAAATTGCACATATGCAAACGTATGTTAGCACGCGCAGTGGAGGGGGAAGAGCGAATTTCGCCCACCCCTCCTGTTTTTCGCCAATATCTCATAAGATTAATGCGAAATTAATTATGGCTACCTGTCAAGAATTGAATTGGACATCTCATCGTGCAAGCAATAAGAAAATCGGTTCACAACTGTTCTAGTAATAGCGGTGTAAAGTGAACATCCTGTCGCCGCAGCGACGCGGCGACTCGACAGCCGGCGCCGACCGCTACGCGCCGCCTGAATTGTAGACTGTGCCGGGACGGAACGGAACGGCTCCGTCTTTACATCGCGCTCCCTACCGCTGATTACGTTCGATTCGCGTCAAATTTTGTGAGAAGACTAAGAAATGTACAGGCAATCTTATGGTGAAAGAATTTTGAAAATCGGTTGGTAAACAATTGAAATATGAACGTGTAAACACAAAATTGTGATTGCTGCGTTTCCCGCATCGGCCGAGCCCGCCTCAGCCGGCGACATGTTACTCTTAGCAGGCCTCTAACTGCCATATTTATTATTGGATTAACTAGAAATTCCTCATACATACTAAAAAAATGTATGTTCTTTCGTATAGTGAAGATCAAAAGACGTGAAGATATCATTGCGTGATATTGTTTTCGTTGAATTTACTTCATGATGCATTTCCACACGGCTCAAAATTCACCGCAAAATACCGTTTGCCTGAGACACTTTTACTATGGAACGTGAATGCTTGACTACGATGACTATGCATTTCCATTCTCGCAGAGTTTGGGATATCACTAATCAGCAATCATTCATTTCAGAAAGTGTACACAAGCAAGCATGTCTTGACTCTGTCTTTCAAGGTCACGCGCGGTTGCGTGATGTTGATGCATGAAAGCGGCGTTTGCCGGGAAAGTTATGAATGGCCCACTCCAATTTTTTCACAGATGGTTAGGAACATTGTGACGGACATAATATGTAAAAATTACCCAAATCGAAGGTGACGTGTTTTTTGCTATTTAAATTTTTCTGTTTTAATTCAAGGTCAAATGCATTTCAAGGTCACTTCAATTTAATTTTATAATTAAAAATCAAAGCCTTATCAATTGCCTATAAGACCCTGTTAATATAATTTTGATACCAGAAAAGGAACCAGAGTTATAGCCATTTAAAAAATTGATGTGTGGCATTTTTCGCTATATTCGATGACCTATATCTCAGCGATACGTTTTCAAATTTCGAAAATATTATACGTAACTCAGTTTTGAACCATGCCCAGTCTGCCTACAAATTTTCAGAAAAATCGAAGGGGATGACGGATTTCGGTGTTTGATTTGACGTGGAATGCCCCATACTGTACCTTACGCCGGTTTTTGGACTTGTATTGTAAGCGCAGGTGAAGCGATAAATTTATTTCCCCTTCTGCCTTCTGTTCTTGCTCACAAGATAAATCAATTCAATGATTTAAACTATCGTCATCGCTTCAGATGCACTTGCAATACAAGACCAAAAACCGGCGTAAGTTACGGACTCGCTTTATAAAACGAGGCCCTGGTTACCTAATGAGACGTACCCGTATCGGAGACACCCTTGCTATGGCGTCGGACTTCTCTGCAGGAATCGGACTCTAGTGACTATACACGTGACGTCAACGTGAGCCGTCTTATTTGATCATGATCCTTTAGTTCATGTCATCGTTTGATCATCATTGAATAGCATTCATCTGCTCATCATATTCAGTGTTTCTGAAAATAATAGCTCCTCATTACAAATCACCCCGAGATATGGGCTACGACGGTTTTTTTATTCAGGCCTCCCTCCGACGGGCACTTATTTCCCATTTACAGGAGGGCTCCTCCTCTTCCTCGCCCCGTTGTTTCCCCCCTCCCCCCCAGGCTTTATGACAAGGACTCGTCACTTGCAGGGTACTTGGGGTCAAGATGCAGCGACATTTCCGATTGCAACTACGCCATCCAGCACGTGGCGTGTGACGATACCTGTCAGTGCATCAAACCATACGTGGGCTTCAACGGCGAGACGACGTGCTTGTAAGTTCGAAAAAGCTGCTTAGCTTACTCATAAATAGAGTGTGCTTGATTTTTTTTTTGTAGAAATGATCTTATTTGCTAATAGAAGGCAAATAAAAGTTATATATTTATTAACGATCGTTAGTCGAAAATCATGTTTTGGGATGTAATCATAAAATCGAACTTATACATAGAGGAAATAGAGTAAATGGTTTAAACAACATATCACAGAATAAGAGCTGAACGGCAAACACCATAGGCATAACCACTCGCTCTCTTCCCGACAGTGCATAGGCGCGGGAACCGGGGGGGGGGGGGCGTGGGGGCACTTTGCGCCCACAACTCTGGGGCCGTGGGGGCGGTGCCCCCACAACTTTGAGACGGAATACCGCACTTTTTTTGCCAATGTTTTCTTTTTTTTGTTGAAAAAGCAAGATGATGAAAAATAAGTGGCCTAAAACCAATGAGAAAACAAGATGATCTGTATTATGGTGCACCCCCCAGTCTGAAAGTAGTTCCCGCGCCCCTGCGACAGTGATAACGCCATGGGCTGGGGCGTGGCAATCAAGACTGCCGGCATTACCGTCCTGGTGCTGGCTGTGGGCTTCTTCATCGCCTTCGGGGTCAAAGGATGCACCAGATCTGTGAGGTATTTACATTGAAGCAGCTTATCCCACCGTATCTGAGTAAACGTATCTTTATATCATTCTTTCAGCGTATCTTTATATGATTTTAACCCGCGCCGGGACGGTGCTCCGAGACTTCCGCGCCGGGCCGGGGGGGGGGGGTGTCTGAACACCCCCACCCCCTTCTAACTCGGCTCCTGGGCCACGTAGCGACACGCGGTAAGCGGCAATCGAAAGAACGTCCAAAACAAAGACGAAAACACTTCGGTCATTAGGTCAAAGGTCAGGTCACCAGAGGTCACCAAAGGTAAATGGTAAAAAAAGGTCACCAGCTGGCTATTTCAACATTTTGGAAACTGCCAACAGCTAACTCGGGAACCGAAAGAGCTACAACGCCACAGAAAATTCGATAGCCCTTTTACAGACCTTTCTGAGTAATGTTCTCAGATTTGACCTCAGGTCAACGGTTTAGCCTCCAGAGGGCAAAAACTCCAAAAATAGCCGTTTTTACGAAGTGTTTTTTTCGGCAATAGCTTTTGACTCCAAACAGCCATGACATTACTTTTGCCAGCATCGTGTTCTTCTCGTCGCGACACGTCGAATGAACTATAATTTGCCCTTGCAAGGCCAACTTGAAAAGTTGACCTCAGGTCAAGATCATGACCTGACCGGAAATTGCCATGTTGCATATCAGTCGATCCGCATCGTCAAGCCGAAGACATCTATAAAGGTGTTTTCATCGCGCTGGCATGTCTCTATCAGAAGTTATTAGCGAAAAACTGTTAGATACTATTCGTGACCTGAGATGACTTCTGGGGCATAACGAAGGGTCACAGGTGCCATTTCCGGTTCAGTGTGTCAATTTTACCTGCATCCCGATGTTTGAGAGTGTCTAGAATGACGTTCGCGCAAAAGAGACGCTTTTCAGTTTTCTCCCATTGACCTATAAGGGTTAGGCCGCAAAATTGACCTGACCATAGGCTACCGATATCGAAATTCCGAGATATACGTTTTATAGATACTATTACTCTCATCAAAACTGCAAAAGTTTCAAGGCCATCGTTTTGTCGGTGTAGCTATGACGAGCATTCTAATTGTTTCTGAGGTGAGGTGACTCGGCATGACCTGGTGACCTGACCTTGAACGACCTGGGTCTGATATTTTCACATGTGCGGAAAAGATGCACGAACAGGTGAGCTAAAAACGGCGCCGCAGAGCGCCTCCGCTTTTGAAATATCTGAGAACAAACCCAGGGGGGGGGGTGTTCAAACACTCCCCCCCCCCGCCCGGCGCGGGTTATTAAACAAAATGCTTTAAAACGTTTTAAGCTGAGCTTTTGCACACCACGAACTATCAAGTATCAAAAGATCGTTAAGAAGTAAGCACAGTGACTGAAGAATTTGGTATCGTTAATTTTTGTTTAATGTTGTTGGTTTTCTTTTTTTGTGTGTGTATGTTTACTTGTTTGACTCAATTTGGGGCCGCACACGAAGTGATGACATACCTTTCCCACACTTCCCCGTGTCGTTGAAGATGTCAAATGCCCAGTCCGGCGAGGTTTTTTCTTTTACATAGTTGCTTTAGTGTGGTCAGTTCAATTTCTTGTATAAGAGGTGCATTTAATGTTGATAATTCATAGTTATCGTTATAATTATATACCCGTTTCATTATTAGTGACGAGTGCTCCGGCAGGCGGCGCATGGGTCGCCGGGTGCCCTGGCTGCGGCGCAACAGCGACATCAGCTTCAACTCGGCCGACTTTTTCGTGGGCGGCCTGAGCCAGGCGATCCTGGACCGGCCGCCCTCGTACGCCGAGGAGGACGTCGACAAGCCGCCGGCTTACGAGGACCTCTTCCCAGAGGTCAGCGCGGGTCTCCCCGGCGGGCGCGGGTAGTTGGCGATGAGCAGCTGTTGGTATTAGGAACAAGTCGTAATGTTTGGCCGTATATTTAAGCCCAACTCATGATCACAAGGGAACATGAATAAACGTAACTCTTGGTATATAAACATAGCTTTATATATTCCAACGGTATAAGTAATGTGTATTTAAATGTTATTTCGCAAATCGACGGGTAATCATTATGACAGCTAATCTTTCGATAAAAGAATTAGACTTAAAGAGTGTGCCTGGTTCAGTGTCTGTTACTGTGCTCTGTTGGCTGCACGCAGGACGGTGTGGATAATGCGGCGTTCTCCCCGGACTCCCCGTCGGGATCCCAGCCGCCGCCGCAGCGGCACCACCACCACCATCACCAACCCCCGCAGCGGCAGCCGGCTGCAGCCGCGGCGGCCGCTGACCTGTCGGCCGTGTCCCAGCCAGTGGTGGTGGTGCGCGGCCACCGCAGAGGCCTGTCGGGACCGGCCGCCATCCACCTCGGCACCGCCGACCAGACCGAGAGGGTCACTGCCGAACAGGCTAGCCAGGTCATTGCGGAACAGACTGGCCAGGTCACTGCGGAACATAATAACCAGGTCACTGAGGAACGTACCGGGCAGGTCACTGCGGAACTAGGTGGTCAGGCCACTGTGGAACAGAACGGTCTGGCCATTGCGGAACAAAACGGTCAGGCTGCTGCGGAACAAACTGTGGAATTAAATGGTCAGACTGCTGCGGAACAAAGCGATCAGAATGTGACTGAGGAACAAAACCAAAAGACCCCCGTAGATGAAGACGGCGAAATGGCTTCCGCTGAAGACGGAGTTCAGCACCCGACTGAAAAAGACCGCGGTCAGAAGCCCGCCGAGGAAACAGCCAGTGCAGTGACCTCCGAGCGTGATATGGTTCCTGCTGACCCGAGTACGACAGCAGACGGCGAACAGAGCGACACGGCGACCACCGAACAGACTGTCTCGACTGCGTCTGAGCCGACCAGCGCCGTGCCTACCGCACAGGCCAGCGGAGTGGCCTCTGGACAGTGTAACGATACCCGCACCAGCACCCCGGCATCCGAACAGGCCGATGTCATCACGAGCAGCAGCGAGAAATCACCCATCAGCTACTCCCCGCGGCCGGGAGCCGATGGGGCGCCGCGGCTCACGGCGCCGGAGACCAACTCTCGCCGCCAGACGAGCGGCTCTGACGGGCCGGGCGCGCCGCCGACGGACTGTGACCCGCCTGTCGAGCCGACAGAGGTCTGGGAGGACGTCCAGCTGTGATGAGACGGCGCCGCGGCCTCACTGGGTACGTGACATACCGGCGGGCGCGGGTAGGCGCCGGGCTGAGCGGGGGTCTGATAGAGGCCGGTGCTGCACTTATGGCGGTGGCGTGTCAAGCCAGATGGTTTTAGATGCGTGGGTTTACATGGTGTGTCAAAAGTGGAAATAGCCGGTGCGCCGTCTGGCAACCCGGCAGCCCGCCGCCATAGGGAAATTCATGCTTTTTGTCGCTTTTTCGCTCCTTGTGAGTCACTGGATCTAATTAGAGCTTAACTAGGAACGAGGCGGGTCACTTGGACGTATTCGGGATCCGAATACGGTGTTTTGGAGCCAATACCTGGGAAACCCTACCCGCCCAATGCGATTTGCTAAGAGTCTGCATGCCCAAATTAACGTTGAGCGCGGCCGTTTTCGGTCGGTTTTCCGCGACCTTGTGGCGAAATCACCTTATTTATTCTACCAGGGTGGGCTAATTCGCTTAACTAGGAATGAGGCGTTGAAGAGAATTATTCAAGGAATAGAGCTGTGCAAAAATATTTTTTGTATTGTCAAAACTGTATCCGCCCTCGAACGATAAATATTGTTGACCCATCAGAAACATATCCCCTGGAATGCGTTTGGACTTGGCTGGATCTAATATTAGCGAGTATCTGCTAATGCAGTTTCTTGGCTTACACAGTACGCACACAAGCATACATACTTCCTGCCCTTGGTTATTCCTCACTTGAATGAAAATTTTGCTATAATAACTATTCCAAGCAGTTAACAGGTTTTAGTGCAGTGCCAAGTCGGGACCGTTCAGCGCCGCCAGTCTCCCAGGCGGCGCGTTACGGGCGCCGCCGGCCGCCGCGCCGCCGCTCTGGCAGGGTGTTTGACTTCATATCTCTGTCGCTAGAAAAGTTGTGGACCGATTTACTTGATTCTTGCATGAAAAGATCCGCCATTACATTCTTAGCAGAAAACGAAAATTTGACGTCAATTGCACGATCCGCTGCCCATATTGTGGTACTGCCATCTATTGACAAGGCTGGCGAACTAAAGCCGGGCGGCTATTTCCACTTTTGACACACCATGAATAATCTGTTCCGGGAAGTGCCTGTTGACGTCATGATAGTGTTAGTTTGTCCTCTGGGAAATTAGTGGAGTCTAGTTGGTTTACTTGTAGGACGCTACTCATGGCATGATACATTTTATCAGACAATCGGCAATGCAGGTATTTCCCCACTGTCAAGGCAGCGATTATCATCCAACGGCTTGCCGAATCGTATTCTGTTTTTCATGTTCAACAACACTCACAGACCACTGAAGAGTCTGTATAACCTACAGCGAAGCATCTAGCATATAGCTTTTTATTAGTTTATATATATATATATATATATATATGTATATATATATATATATATATATATATATATATATATATATATATATATATATATATATATATATTTATATATATATATATATATATATATATATATTAGGGTGGTCCTTATTTTCGAAAATCGTATTTAGATACCTTGCGCCCCTTCAATCGGTGCCGTTAACGAAAAAACATGTCTGTCAAAATTTCAGATCCCTACTTCATTATTTACTGGTAGCTCAACGCTCGTTCGTTCGTCAATGTTCGCTCAATGTCCGTTTCGTCGATCAACGTTCGTTCCCTCTTCCTCAGGTGTAAAGATTGTCTGCGTCGCAAACTTCTGGGTACATGGTGTCCCCCAGTTATGAACTCCTTGGCTCCAAGTTCCCAGTAGCAGCGGAACACCTTCTATTAGGGGGGGGGGGGCACTGCCGACTTTTGGTCCCATTCTTTCCATGCAACGCCCATAGGGCTATACTAAAATGGCAAAATTAAGGGGGGCACGGTGCTCCGGTGCCCCCCCCCGTTCCACTGCCTATGCAAGCTCCCATCCCGCGGCCAATCTCTCGCCTACTTCCTCCACCGCCACCAAATCCTCTAGGAAACGGTCCGGGAAGCGGCCAACCGGACGTTAGAGAAGGTACTATAGTAGAGGAGTTCTGGGCCAGGGCCAGGAATCCCACCCAGCACAAAGGGAGAGCGGTCAAGAAGGTGGAAACTCTCTTCGACGAGTGGAAACGCCTGAAAAAGAACAAGAACAGGACTTCCGCCACCCAAACAAGCAACGATGACGCATTCAAGAAACAACTGGAAAATATCTTTGATATCGCCCTCGGTGACGCAATGTCCTTGATACCTAACCATCCCGGAAGATCGCGCCTTCCTTCTCGCCCAACGTGAGCCAGGGAGACGGGATAGAATGACAGAGGCAGACATGGCGCTCCATTCCCAAGAAAAGAGGAAGAGGAGGAGGGATGACGCCGAAGAGAGGAGGAGGAGCAAGGCGTCGCGTCGGAGGAGGCGCGGGCGGCAGCCGACCAAGTGGAGCTGGAAAGCATAACCTCGAGTAGCTCCGAATCGTCCCCACTTCGCGGAGCCGTGAGACCTGGCCCCAGCATGGGTACAGCCACTCTGTCATCCCGAAAGCGTGGTCGAACCACGGTCATCACGCCGCAACTTTCCGCTAACGTCTAACGTCTAACGTGTGTGTGTGGGGGGGGGCGTCGGTTAGACCCCTCTGCCTTTTGACTCCAGATCGCGCTAGAGCTTTGCGAAAAAACGAGCGTGTTGCCCGTGACGAGAGGAAACCGATGATATCCAATTTAAGGTCCTAGGTCATTGGTTGACCTTCCAGGTCAGGTCAATGACCCAGTGGTCAGAAAAATCGGGACCTGCAAGAGCTTCGTACAGTGAAACTGTATTGTTTTTGGGGGTGCTGATCACGAATTTCATGCTAGTTTTGATCACATATGATGTCTTCGTGCATTTAGACCAGGTCGGGTCAGGTCAGGTCAGGTCAGCCATTAGGCGTCCTGCCGGCTACCCATAGTAGGTCTCAACTACCACTGGTGGCGTCGTGACACATAACAAAGGCACCAAAACTACTTCGTAAATGTTCAAATGGATGCTAAATTCGAAATCAGCCCGAAAAACTGCCCTAGAAACATGTATACCTCGGAAAAGTGACACGAGGTCATCATAGGTCAATGACCTGATCTGACCTGACCTTCAGGTGACCTTGACACCCACCGTAATGCATGGGGCGAACATCATTTCACATGTTTGGACGTTTATAATCGCAAAAATATTAGAAACACGCGGATAATGAGAGCTGACACACGCTGAATCGCGACTCCGGCCAAACATGGTCTCGAGAAATAGGTCACAGGTCAAAGGTCATTTGGGTCAGGGTCATGAAATTTTCAGAGTATATATAAAATTGATCATCTCGAGGATACTGAAAGTTTCGTCGCGATCGGCCGCTTTTTACGTGAGTTATTCGCGAAAACTCATGGGGGTCCATCCCAACCCTACACATACGAGGGTTAATATGCATTGAGCCACCAAAAAGCATCCGCCGATTTCGCTCTTTTTGCTCTTTTTCCACGTTTCTAGACGAATGGCATCAGTTGGGGGGGGGGGGGGGGGCGCAAGCGCGAAAAAATACAAATTAAAATTTTGTATGGAAATAAGGACCACCCTAATATATATATATATATATATATATATATATATATATATATATATATATATATATATATATATATATCGACTACTTTCAAGTAAGGAAGTATATGACCATTAGGTATACCATGCAGTGCAATATAGCCAGGATTGATTTGGCGATTTGCTGTGCTCGGATGAAAGAGAAATTCCTATTGCCGAAGTAAACTCCGCATTTCTTTTAAAAGAATCCACAGATAAGGCAAGGTACAGACGATGACTTTTATCGTTGTTAATTGGTAATTGCCTCAGAGTTTCCAATTTTGAACACATTTTTTTAAGGTAATTGCTTAGAGCTGACTCATGAACATATGCAATATCATATAACTAGGCGATATATTATATAGTTTTGTTAGCGCAGGTTGTTTGAAAATTGACAAACACTATTCGTTAGAATTATTTTTTGACAAACACTATTCGTTAATTGAAAAACAACCGAAACAGTCTTCGGTTGGGGTGTTCAGCATAGTTGGCCGCGATACGGGGCTCGGAAGGGCGTTCTTACACCAAATAATATTGAGATGTTCCGAAATGATAACGCAAGGTAGGTAGGGGGTACAGATAGCTACTATATCGACACGCGGCCGTAAGGCATGCGCTGAGCCACGTTCATATAAGAAATGTCTACATCTGGTTGATGATAGTATTTGTGTATATGTATGAATGCACAAATGTTGTGTTATGTGCCAATACACTCACCGTATTGTGTCTGTAAATATCAAATGATCGAGAAGTGTCATATGACTCAGGAAATACACATCACATACTGGTTTCGATTTTCTTTTGATGACAAATTATGATATACATATGATTGCGTCACACTATGTGATAAATAATTGGCAATCCTCGACCGTGGAGTGGTCCGAATTAAACTCAGACTCATCTGCATTTTCTGCTGTTACTCCCTCCAACAGGCGCTTTTCACCAATTGCTGGAGTGAGCATTCTCTATTATTTTAGGTTACACTATCAAGGGCCTGCATCACTCCTAGTGGCTAAGGTAGGTCTGGCAGCGCGGAGGACAGACGGCGCTGGAAATCGAACGCGGCTCCTCCCTTGCCCCGAACCAACGCCTTACCAATCGCGCCACTAGAACCGCGCTATTTCTAATTTTGTGATCGTTGCCGCTCGCCACTCGATTATAGAACTTTATTCAATGTGCATACAACAAACCACTACTACGCAAATACGTAATGAGCTACATCACGCAGGAGCTTCCTTTGATGTCGACTTGGACCCCGTTTGTCACTGGCATTATCGCGTGACGACTTACTGGCTGAGCGGCCGCGGCACCAGCTGTCGATCGCGGCTGATTGACACGTCAATTCGAGACAGCTGCACGGCATGACATCTCAGCGGCCGACAGATCATCCTTCTCGAACTCCGACTCCTCCTCGACGAGCTCTGCGCGACTCGGAGAACCTGCCGGTCGTCGAATACCCGCACCGTTTCCGAACGTCGTCTCGGCCGACGCATCGGTCCCGACGGCCGCATCATTTCACGTCGTCGATCCGATGATAGGTGCGCGCGGTCAGCCCATGGCCGGCCGGCGGAGCGTATCAGCGTGTCGGCGCGGCGGGGGCGGCGCGCGGGCTCGATAGCAGAGGGTAGCCGGTCGGCGGCGCGGCGCTGCGTCGGCGCACGGCGCACCCGTCGGTGGTCCGTCCCGGTCAGCCGGGTCAGCTGAAGGTTAGTCACCTAGTGCCGACGCCGGCGGCTGCGGTCACTGCACGCCGGGCCGCCGACCGGGCCGGACGACACGGCCACCATGGGGGACGGCAACGAGCAGCAGAACGCCGGGTGAGTGGTACACTCGGGGGCAGATTGATGTTCTACAACTCTTTATCCACCGGGTTCCTATGGCTCAGCATTGGCAGCAGCCGCCTGGTACCGGTAGACTGTGCCGCTTCACTTACTTGTCAAGCGGCACAGCCTACCCACACCGTATGACACCGGTCTGGGTCGGTGGCTGGAAGGCGATGTGTGCCGCCTGTGACGTCAGCGCAGCGGTGAGGGCCGAGCCCGGAGGCATGGCTCGGGTCGGCGCGGCGCGGCGGCTGGCGAGGGCTGGGGAGTGAGGCGGGGTGGGAAGGTGGGAGCATGGACCATCGCACGGCTGAGCGAGTGTAGTTAACTTTCACGTCTCAAGGCGGCAGTTATTCTACCTAACAATTGCGCTAAAGCAGTTGTTAAAATATCCTATGCCCAAGACAGCGCCTATCATCATACTTGCCATGAGCATTACGACACACTTTAACGTGGCATTGGGACAGCCGATAGAATTTATATCACACGTGCATCGAGTTGCGGAGCTGCATTGTTTATAACAGATAAGTATTAAGGCCTTGATTGAGCTCATTGATGCATCTATTATTTCGCACAGCAATCGTCCAGAGACGTGGGAACTGCGTTGTTTGGACAGCGCGGCAGCCAACGCCCCAACTTTAAGCAAATCTTACTGTTCCTCTAATGTGTGATTGCAGCCACCAATAGCAAACCGTTCCAACTAGGAGCAAATAAGTCTCGCACCTAGGACGGTTCGAACCGGGGTTCTCCAACCGGTCACCCTACGACACTATAGCGTGCATCCACTGAGCTACCGAGACCAGCGACCACCCGCCGGCCGCCGCGGTCAAACGCGATGAAATGTCACAAAACTGTCATTGGCGGTCAGCGGGTGAACGTCATTTTGTTTTCTGTTGCCGGGGGCCATTCTCGGTAGCTCAGTGGATGAACGCTCGTATCGTGGGCTGACCGGTGGGGGAAGCCCGTTTCGAACCCTTCTGAGTGCCCGACTTTTTGGCTCCTGGTTGGAACGGTTTGCTATTGGTGGCTGCGACCACATGAGGAACAGTAATAATCGCTTTAAATTGGGGCGTTAGCTGCCGCACTATACCCATAACCCCTAGTTCCCACGTCTCTAGACGATTGCCGTTGCAAACAATAGACACCAATCTGCTCAATCAAGGCCTTAATACTAACATGTTATACAAAATATAGCTCCGCACCTCGATGCACGTGTGACATAAGTTCTATCGGCTCTCTCATTGCCACGCTTAAGTGCTTCGTAATACGCATAGCAAGTAAAAGATAGGCGCTGTCTAGGGCATAGGACATTTTAACTGCTTTAACTGCTTTAGCGCAATTGTTAGGTAGAATAATTGCCGCATTGAGACGCGAAAGTTAACTACACTCGCTCAGCCGCGCGATGGTCCATGCTCCCACCCTCCCACCCCGCATCACTCCCCAGCCCTCGCCAGCCGCCGCGCCGCGCAGACCCGAGCCATGCCTCCGGGCTCGGCCCTCACCGCTGCGCTGACGTCACAGGCGGCACACATCGCCTTCCAGCCACCGACCCAGACCGGTGTCATACGGTGTGGGTAGGCTGTGCCGCTTGACAAGTAAGTGAAGCGGCACAGTCTACCGGTACCAGGCGGCTGCTGCCAATGCTGAGCCATAGGAACCCGGTGGATAAAGAGTTGTAGAACATCAATCTGCCCCCGAGTGTACATACGACATACCATGGTGGAGGCTACTGGGGTAGGTGATGATATGGCGGTAGGTGAGGTGAAGTGGTCAGGTGAGAAGTAGCAGCGCCTCGGATGAGAGACATTGGTGGGTTAGGTCATAGGTGAGATGCAGTCGCATTTGCATTGAGAACAAGCATCTGCAGTTGCCTGTATAGACTTTTGAAAGTACTGCGCATCGGTGTGTCGGATCCAGCGAGCCCAGCCGAAGGCACCCTGCTGGGTGCCTTCGTCAGTGACAATATCGAGGTACTATTACACTAATAAGTTTGTCAAAATCTTTTACACCTTAAAAGTAAACATGACCTGGACATTTCTCAACCATTCTGCGACCCTTTCTTCGCCTCATATGACCTTTGAGATATCTTGCACACGCAAGCGAAATAGGTATCTTTTGATAATAAGAAAATAGAGATAAGTAGTACGCCTCCAAATTGGCGCCTCCAAATTGTATTTTCTCCTTTTAACCATTGATGAAGAGGCCACTAAATTGGCCTGAACCTATATAACCGATATGGAAAATCTTAGATCACGTATGCAATGCATGCCTACACCATGCCACTCCATCAATCGCTGAAAGTTTCACTTCGATCGTTTAGTCCGTCAAGCTAGGGCGAGCTGTGCTTTTCATTTCAATGAAGGTTACATGATGAATTGACCCTTAATGACCAAAAATTGAAATTTTTAATTTGTGAAAAGATTAAGTGTCTTTTTCATGCACCAAACATGGTGTCGTTGCTCCACGTTTTTAAATATTTATATATATATATTTTTAATGATTTTTAAAGATTATTTTTTTTTTTACAAAAGTCACGGATATGCTTATCATTACCTGTGAGCCATCCTAACACTCCCAGGCACCTTGCGAACGAAAAGAAGACTGGACTGGACACATGACAACAGACAACTGCACGCACTGATAACTGCCAATCGGTGGCGGGCCGGGCAGACGCTAACGACCGGAGCCGGGTGTCGTGACGTGGCCACTCGATTTTCGGTGACGTCGGACGTCTGGCCGCCGCGGTCCATCGATTCCTCACGTCACGTAAATCTCATCTAATAAACGCCACCGCTGGACCGAAATTTAAAGAACCAACGGCGCATCAGGCGCTTTTATAGACGTCGTTAGGCTTCCGTATGATCCATTTTATAGAAAGCAATCCAATCCAAAGGGCTATTGCGTGTATTTTGATGCGGCGTAAGTTATCGATAGGTATGTCCGTTGTCTAATGTCCAATATCCAATCTTTGCAAACCGAGGCGTGCTTAATTTTTGGTACACGATCGTATTGCAATTATCTGCGATATTAACCCGCGCGGGGCTGGGGGGTAAATTTTACCCCCCCTCGCGAATTTTTGCGATATCTCAAAAACGGCGGCGCGCAGCGCCGCCAAACTTTCAGTGCCTTTTTTTACATCAATTTGACACGTTCCCTGAAAATTGAGCGAAATCCGTCGGAAAATTTTTGAGAAATTGACGTTTTAGTGACGTCATGTTCGCCATTTTCGCCTCAAAAACGGCAAAAGTTCAAACGCCGCTAACATCTTCATTTTTAAAGGAATCAAGACGTAACAAAAAAAGTTATACGTAATTTTACTTTGTCTATCAAATGGCTATCTCGTTTTTTTGAAAATTTTGGATTTTGGCCTAAATTTTTTCAAAAAACTGACTTTTTTGGGAAAATCATTACAAAATCCAAAATTTTGAGTCTATCGAAAAAACCGGAATATATGTCAGAGAAGTGGTCTATGTGCACCTACATACCAAATTTTAGAAGAATCGGTTCAAAAATGTGGGAGTTATTCAAAATTTTATGACGTCACGACACACAATTTTTTTGAAAAATGACTTTTTTGGAAGTTCTAGACCTCGTACGGAAACAAAAATAGCACCATTCGATTCGCCGTGAAAAACTGCATCAGATAGACACCTTTTTAGGCCTTAACAACCAACTTCAAAATTTGACCTCACTTGACCTGACCTTGACCTGACCTCGACCTGATATTCATCCAGAGGTGGTCCATATCACTTATTGAATGTGCCTATTGAATTCTATGAGTAAAATGACCCATAAAACATGTGTCGCACATGCCCTTTTCTATATTTTGTTTTTTGGTGACCTGACCTGACCTGACCTGACCTTGACCTTGACCTCTGAATGATATTGTATGCAACGAATATTGTCTTGGTAGCCTAAGAACACGTTTTGGGCGATCAGTCTCAGTCCATGACTCCATTCTTCGGCAACTACGGTGCAAGGCCGATACTGTAGAAACTTGCAATTTGTACCCTTGACCTGACCTTGACCTTGACCTCAAACTTTAAATTAAGTACATGTTTTTAGTAGTTCGTGATGAGAGCTTTCGATTGGCGTTTGAATTTTCCAAATCGGACTATTAGTTTGGGAGATAACAGGGGGGGGGGGGTAAAATTTACCCCCCCCCAGCCCCGCGCGTTCGGCTGGAGACCCCAGCCCCGCGCGGGTTAATTGCCATCGAATCACTTAGGTCGCCATGTGGCATGCTCCTTATTTCCTAGATAACGGTTCTTTGCTTAGGTCAACTCTGATTGCAATCGTCTATCATCACCTAATAAATAAAGTAATGAATTACATTGTACACATCGATCGCATGGTGTCCTTCGATTGCAGACAAATATCCGACATGCTAAATAACACACAGCATAATATAGCAATAGTTTGTGCTGGCAAGAAATGGGCATGGCGCACCACAGAAGCGCTGAGTAAGGGGAGACACGAATACATTTTAACTGCTCAGGTACGAGAAGCCAGGCCAAAGTATTCTCTCGTGGACACGTTTTACTGCAGCTTGCTGCGCCCACAGCACTCATTCCACTCTCAGGAGAACGGTCACTCGTTGCGCCGTTGCGGGACTTCCGTTTTGACGTCCCACTGCGCCAACACACCGCGGGCTGAAATAGAACCCATCTGCCAGTCATGACCAGAGTGTCATGACTTTCGCAAAGCTCCAGAACCGGCTTTGAATAGTACAGTAGCGGACGAGGCACGGCTGCGCTGCCCATTTGTCTCCATATGTCGGACCACTGATCGAGTTTGTGGCATCTCAGAGCCGTTTCCTCATCGCGTCATGCTCGATAATCGTATATGTCAACCGCTGAGTCAAGTTCCGTTCCCCGACCTTTCATGGCCGGTGTGATATTGCGTCAGCGGAAGGACGAACTGCTGCAACACAGGTGTGACGTCATCACACCGGCCACGCCTCCTGTTAGGCCATGGTCCGATTAGTCGATGTT